CCTCTACTTTTCTATCCCCGCAACTCCCTCTTTGGTTCTTTCCTTACTTTATTCTTGAGTTCTTTCTTTACTCTATTCTTTTCTTCTTCATTCTTTCTTTGTTCTTTCTCTTCTCTTTCACTGTTTCTACTTCTCACTACTCTTTTTTTTTCTTTCTAATTCTCTATGTTCTTTCTTTCTTTCTTATTCTCACTAACCATGATGGAAGTCATGGCAACATGCATGAATGAGATGCATATGCAGTAATGCACAAAAATGCATTTTCTTTTCTCTTCTTTTCTAGTTCTTATTCTGTTTCTTTTCTTTTATTTCTAATCTTTTCTTTCTTTTCTTTCTTTTCTTGCTTGCTCAAGCTTTCTCATTGTTTCTCATTCTTTCTTATTCTTATTCTTTCTTATTCTTTTCTTATACTTATTCTTATTCTTATTCTTGTTCTTTCTTATTCTTTGCTAATCAGACTCGGTTGATGCATGGATTCGGAATCCTGGCCATGTGAGTGAGTACAGTCCTCATCTACATGCACTCTTAAGGACTGTACAAATTCTTTCTTCTTCTTAGGCCACTCAATTAAGGTGGCGTGCATGTAGGAAATTCTTCTTGGTACAGCCCTCATCCACATACACTCTTATGGGCCGTACAAATTCTTATTCTTCTTAGGCCACTCAATTAAGGTGGCGTGTATGTGGGAATCCCTTCTTCTTGTCACCCATAGGTTCCTTATCACAACAACCTTTCTTTTCTCTTCTTTAGCATTTTTCTTCCTTTATTTCTTTAGTGCTTTCTTTCTTTCTTTGTATTCTTAAAATTCTTTATTCCTTCTTTAAAAAAATTCTTATGCATATGCAATTATATGCATATGGATGGCTCATGCTTATAATTCTTTCTTAAGTGCAAACATGGAATGCAAACATGCGATGTTGCACAAAATAAGTTTTCTCTACTCATGTATATGCTTCTCTTAGGCATTTCATCAAACATTAAGCATGCATACTTAAATTCTACTTTTGGTAAATTTCTACTTCTTTCTTAAACCATCCATTCTTGAAGCAAAACTCCTCTATATCAAGGTTAAACCTGGCCAATAAAAACACTTCAAATATTCGACTCAAATTCTTTGTAAAACTCAACCAAACTCCACTTGGTCACCACAATATCAACTTCACTTCTCATGGCTTAGATCTACCCATCAAAAGCCATATACTCAACAATAGCATCATTCTCAACAATAAATCTCAAACTTATAAGCACATACATGCATCTCAAATCATTTGATTACTTAAATCTTAACTTGGGTTGGATTTACTTACCCTTTGCTTAAGTAGTTCCACAAAAGCTCTCTATCTTTGTTGGACTTGTTCTTTCTCTCAAACCCTAAGCATAAACTCTATAAGAATTCAACAATTGCACTCATTAATCTCATAGCTAGAGCAAGAATTCTTACCTTTGATACTTAGGATCAAATCCCTATCAAAATCCAACTAAAAGCCCTCAATTTTCCTTAGCAAATTGAATGAAGAAATGAGAAAAATGGACAGCGGAAGTGGCGTGTGGGTGTATTGGATGGGAGGGTTTGTAAGACTAAAACCTTATTAGTTCATATAAATAAACATTCTTTCCATTTTGCCCTTACACTTTCTTGATAATTCCATCCTTATCCTTTAATTCTTTACAAATACACCCCCATCACCAATGCATTCTCCATGAAATTTTCTTACATTTCACTCCCCACTTTTCCTACCAATTAGGGGTAGAATGGTCACTTTACCCCTATGGAAAATTTCTCTAGAAACTTCTCAAGAAATTCAGCCAACTTTTCGCCTCCGCGAAGCTTTTTCTTCGCCTCAGTGAAAAATTACAGAGCGTACGTCGCCGTGGCAAGGCTTATTCTTCGCCCCAGTGAACTCTTTAATGCTCTAATTCGCCAAGTCTTCATCAATTTCAGGGCAACCACACAATAATATCAACATACCAGTTTAACTTAAAGCCAACAAACAACATTTAAAGGCAAATAAACATGAATAAGCTATGTACCTCAAAGTGGGCATTACACTCTCTCACTCTCTCAAGGTGATGTTAAAGTGTGGAGGATTCATACTTCTGAATCTTGGCTTCATCAAACCTAAGCACGAGGAGAAGGTATAATGTTTTTATGATTTATTTGCATTTTTTTAATCCTATTAATCCAACTCTTTATATGCATGTCTTGTTTACATGCTTCCAATCAATATTTTCTACCACCTCTTCATGGTTCTTTTCAACCTTGTGCTAGAATCTTACCTTTGGATGCTTTAGGATTAAAAATCTACAAAAATCCAAGCAAATCCTATGAATTCTCTTTGAGATTTGGTGAAGAAATTCGAGAGAAAAAGGGGTGAGGGTGGCGTGTACAAAGGCTGAAAATGGGTTAGGGTTTCTTCTAATGAAACCTTATATCTAATAATATACACATGTATCCCATTTTGCCCTTGCAGTTTCTATGAAATCCCATCTATATCCTTTAGTCAATTACCAAAATACCCTCATTTCTATTATCTTCTTCACATTATTTTGCCTCCTTTCAATCCACACTTTTTCATCTAGTTATGAGTGAAAAGACCATTTTACCCCTAGTGAAGTGTTAAGGAGTTTTCTTCACATTTGTCTAAGGTAACTTCAAAGAAATCCAACTAAGGGTATTAGGGCATAAATAAAATTACATACCTTGTGTTACAACTCCAAAAGCACACACAAACCTTATGTCAATCTTAGAGCAACACCTTTTATCCAATTCCAATCAACACACTCTCATCCCACTTGAAATACACAACACAAATTTGGAACATAACAAGACAAGCCAAACCCGAAAAATGAGATGAATGGTAACCAAATGTGAAACTTACAAGATAGATGGCCAAGGATTATCCAAGTTTAAAGGAACTCCACCAGCTTGAAAAATCATTCCACCACCAAGCTTGGTCGAACCTTGGGTAAAGGAATTCAAAGAGAAAAACAATTCTCTATGGAAAACACTATTCATGCAATATTCATTATCTAATTCATATTATGGAAGAGTGACCTTTATATAGGCTTTACAAGTCATGAGAATTGCCCTAACAAATATTATACAAAAATATTAAGGATTAATTCTCCACCATTCAATTACAAATTGCAAACCATGCCCATTTACTACAAAGGACAACCACTCCTTAAATTAAGGATCTATGTCCCTAATTATGTATTACTTAATTTTCCTTCACCAAATTGAATCAAATAACATCCATACATTGGGCTTGGGCCAATTAAGCTTCCCCCTACTTGATCTCCATGGTTTGGGCTACACAAAAGAGTTTGTGCCATGTCTTGGACCTTTAACACATCTTGGACAAGTTTGTGAGCTTTCTTGAGTGCTTGGGCCGAATGTTGTCCTCCTTTCAAGGCTTGGGCTTCTTGAATCTTCAATGAACAATCTTGCATGTGTAAAGAACACAAATGGTTTGGATTATCATCATCCTCATCAGGTTGAGAAGGATTTGTCCTCAAATCCGAAAGTTCCCCATCCTCCAAGTATGGAGACAAGTTCCAATTTTAAAAGTAGCCGAGACAGTACCAAATTCAGAGGGTAAATTGATCTTATATGCATTATCCCTAACTCTTCTAAGGACTTCAAAGAGACCATCGGCTCTAGGTGCTAACTTGCTTTTCTTCTTGGAAGGAAACCTCTCATTTCTCAAATGAACCCATACAAGGCACCCGGTTGGAAAATGGTGGGTTTTCCATGTTTGTTGACTCTTTTCCTGTAGGTTTCATTATTGGACTTGGCTATTTGGGCCCTAATTGATTCATGTAGTTTTTTCATGGACTTGGCCTTCTCTTTAGCATCAAGGTTCAATTGGATATCAAAGGGTAGGGCACTAAGTTCTATGGGAGTGATAGGATTAAGGCCATAAAGAACTTTAAATAGAGAATGGTTAGTGGTAGCACTAAGGGACCGATTATAGGCAAATTCGGCATGGGCTAATTTGTTGTCCCAATCTTTCAAACTCTTACTCACCAAGGTCCTAAGGATGGTTCCTAGGGTTCTATTGGTGACTTCGGTTTGACCATCAGTTTGGGGGTGATGGGAAGTACTAAACAAAAGTTTGGTACCCAATCTACTTCATAAAGATCTCCAAAAATGGCTAAGAATTTTAGTATCCCTATCTGACACTATACTACTTGGCACACCATGGAACCTCACAATTTCTTTGAAGAATAATTTAGCCATATGTGATGCATCATTGGTTTTATTACATGCAATAAAATGTGCCATCTTAGAGAATTTATCAACAATAATCATTATGGAATCTTCACCTCTTTTGGTTCTCAGCAATGTCACAATGCAGTCCATGCTCAAGTCTTCCCATGGTTGGCTAGGAATGGGCAATGGACTGTACATCCCCAACTTGAAATGACTTTTAGCTCTAAGATAAACCTCCCATCTTTCCACTATGGATTGGACATCCCCAATCATTTTTGGCCAAAAGAAATGATCCTTAAGAATCTCCAAGGTCTTGGTAACCAAAATGACCTGCAAGCCTTCCTCCATGCACCTCTCTCACAAGCAACTATCTAAAACTTCCTTGAGGCAACATAACTTGTTGCCCTTGAACAAAAATCCCTCTTGAACCACATAATCTTCAAAACTGCCCCTTGAACACTTAGCCATGATTTCGGCCATTTGTTCATCTTGTTTGTAATGCTCTTTCATCATGCTAAACCCAAGTACTCTTGCATCCAAAATGGAAAGGATGGAGTACCTTCTTGACAATGCATCCACCACTACATTAGTGCTCCCTTGTTTGTACTTGGACACAAATGAAAAGGATTGAAGGAATTCAACTCATTCGGCATGCCTTGAATTCAACTTATCTTGCCCATTAATAAACTTGAGAGCTTGGTGATCCGAATGTAGTACAAATTGCCTAGGCCTTAAATAATGACTCCAATGATCTAAGGGTCTAATAATTGCATAAAACTCCTTATCATATAGTGCTATATCTCTTCCTAGAATCATTGAGCTTCTCACTAAAATATGCTAACAGCCTTTTATCTTGAGTAAGGACCACCCCAATTCCAACTCTACTAGCATCACACTCCACTTCAAACACCTTAGAGAAATCGGGTATAGCTAGAATGGATGCTTCACAAAGCTTCTTTTTAATCACCTCAAAAGCATCTTTTGCCTCCTTTGTCCACTCAAGATTCCCTTTCTTTAAACATTCGGTGATGGGAGACATAAGCATACTAAAGTTGGATACAAATCTCCTATAAAATGAGGCTATACCATGAAAACTCCTTACTTCACTAATGGTTTTAGGTTCGGGCCAACTCCTAAGTGCATCTACCTTTGATTGATCAACCATTATACCCTCCCCCGAAACTACACAGCCTAGGAAGATTATCCTCTCCATGAAAAACTTACACTTCTCCATCTTAGTATACAATTTTTGTTTTCTTAACACTTCAAACACTTGCCTAAGATGGTTTCTATTTTATACTCACTATGGCTAGACACCAATATATCATCAAAATAAACAACAACAAATCTGTCCAAAAAAGGTTTAAGTACCTCGTTCATCAATCTCATGAAGGTACTTGGTGTGTTGGAAAGGCCAAAGGGCATAACCATCCACTCAAAAAGCCCTCATTTGTTTTTGGAGGTTGTCTTCCACTCATTCCCTTCTCTCATTCAGATTTGATGGTACCCACTCCGTAAATCAATCTTGGAGAAGATGCAAGAACCATGCAACTCATCAAGCATGTCATCAAGCCTAGGTATGGGGTACCTATACTTGATTGTGATGTTGTTGATGGCCTTACTATCCACACACATACGAAAACTCCCATCCTTTTTCGGCACCAATAAGGCTGGAACCGAACAAGGACTCATGCTCTCCCTCACATACTCTTGCCTAATTAGCTCATCCACTTGCCTTTGCAACTCCTTGGACTCCTTCGGATTACATCTATAGGCTAGTTTGTTTGGTAAGGGTGCCCCAGGTAGCAAATCAATGTGGTGCTCTATTCCCCTCAAAGGTGGTAGTTCGGGTGGTAACTCATTCAAAAAAACATCCTCAAACTCTTGGAGTAATGGTTGGACTAGGGATAGGGTGCACTCTCATCACTTTCTTTTGTCTCGGTAATAAGTAAGGCTAGGATGGGTTTGTGTTTAATGATGACCTTTTCTATTTGGTTGCCATTAAGGAATATGTTCTTTTGTGAGTTTTTAGTTTTGGGTGGTATAGATGTGGGAAGTGTTTGTTGGGGTGGTAAAGGGTTTAAGGTGATGGTTTTCTTGTTGAACCTAAAGGTGTAAGTGTTCTTCCTTCCATCATGGACAACCTCCCTATCATATTGCCAAGGCCTCCCTAGCAACAAATTACAAGCATCCATTGGTATCACATCACACACTACTTTATCCACATATCTCTTACCTATGGAAAAGGGCACTACAACTTGCTTGGTAACACTTACGGTGCTTCCATTGCTTAACCATTGTAGCTTGTATAAGTGGCAATGGTTTTGGGTGGGAAGCTTCAATTTCGCAACAAGGGTGGTGGAGGCTACATTGGTACAACTCCCACTAAACACAATAACCAAACATACCTTTCCTTTGATAGTGTAACGGGTTTGGAACAAGTTTCCCCTTTGTTCTTCGGTGGAATCAACTTGTGTATGCAAAACCCTTTTCAAAATTAATGCATCACCAACATCAGCTTCTTCAACAATCTCTTCACCACTCTCAAATTCTTCCCTTTCACTCTCTTTTTCTTAGATAGCCTCTTCAATCTCTTGTATCTCTTTGATTGACATTACTCTCTTGTTGGGACAATTGGCTTGGAACTGTCCATAGCCATGACATTTGAAGCATTTCTTTTCCTTCAAATCCCCTTAGGTGCCTCCTTGAGCCATAAACCATGGCTTCTCCTTGTCTACTTCATTCACTATATCTTTGCCTTTGTCTTTGTTAAAGTTGACATAGGGTTTGGAATAGGATGGAGACCCTTTGTAGGAATTGCTCCCCTTTAATTATGGCTTTGGGGCCAAAAGTTTCAAGCCTTGGAGTTGCTTCTCAACCTTGTTGGCTAGCTTGCACACATCTCCCAAGGAATGATAAAGTTGTAATTCCACCTTGCAAGCTATCTCTCTTTGTAAACCTCCTAAGAATCTAGTGATAGTTTGCTCCATTTCCTCCAGAATATCACTTCTCATCATAAAGCCCTCAAACTCCCTTATATACTCCTCTACTTTCCTATCTTCTTGCTTAAGATTGTACAAACTTAAGTAGAGATCTTACTTGTAATTATCGGGCAAGAATCTCTTTTTCAACATCCTTTTCAATTTATCCCATGACCTTACTCTAGTTTTCCCCTCTCTTTCTCTTTTCTTTCTAGTGTTTTCCCATTATAAGGAAGCATATCCCTTGAACTTAAGAATAGCTACCTTTCATTTCTTCTTATCTGAATACCCCTTGAACTCAAGTACTCTTTCAATATCATTCAACCAATCAAGAAAATCATTAGGGTCTAGACTACCTTCAAATTTGGGCATTCTATTTTGATACCCCTATCATTATCATCATCATCATCATCATCATCATCAAGTCTTCTCCTCTTGTTAGAGTAGATGCCCTAAAGCCAATCAATTATTGTAGAATTGACTCTTTGTAATAATGTTCATTGATCAATAAAAGGCATTTTATTCTATATCGCGTAAATCATCATTGTATGTATTTATATATGTGCTTAGAATGGTAGAACCATGACGAGGGTATCAAGTGTTTCAAATCTTGATAGTAAGAACCTATGAGCACATAAGGTGGCTATTCTAGAAACGTTCGTAGCCCTGGTATTATTCTGAAGTAAGGGCACAAACAATACGGTAAGGCTATCATAGTGTTAAACGACCTTGTCGAAAGGTAGTGACTGATCTTACTTGTCAAGGTTATTTGGTGACAACCTGGTGCAACACATGGGTGCTTGTTGTAGGCAAGTTCACTAGACTGACCCACCAGTCTCAAAAAATGAACATGAATGACTTGAAGAACCAAAAGAACCAGAACTGGACTGACTAAACAACTCATGTAGGTGTTCTAACTGCTCTTTGCTGAATGGTACAGGCCTTGGATGATCCTCAACTTTCAGAGATGTATTTCCTCCACACCAGCATGAAATCCTTTACCATTAGGTTTATTTGTCTTCCAATTTGATGGTTTGCCATGTAGTTTCCAGCAGGTAGCCTTAGTATGCTTTGGCCGATGAAAATATTCACACTAGATTTTCTCTCCTCTTCTCAGCAATTTTTTATCTCCATTAAGATTGGTATGTGTCTCCTAACCCTTGCAAACAAGTGCTGAGGATTCTGATTCTGGCTGTGTACCCAAACTGCTAGTTTATGCTGAATCTCCCATCATCACTTTCCTTATGCTTTCTTCTCTTCTTACTTCTACAAACACTTCACGAATAGAAAGTAAGGATTCTTTTCCCAAAACCCTACCTCTCACTTCATCTAGTTCCTTATTCAACCCTACAAGGAACTCAAACACTCTCTCCTTTTCCAACATCTTAGTATACTTTATATTGTCTTGAGAGCAACTCCAATTTGCCTCGTAGAATAAATCCAACTCTTGCCACAACTTAGCCAATACACTATAATATTGGGTTACAGACATGTTACCTTGTTTGGTCTCTCTCAACCTTGATTTGATTTCAAATATCTGTGTTGAATTCCTCATGTATGAATATGTTTCTTTTGCTATTTCCCAAATATCTTTTGTAGTGGGAAGAAACAAATAGAGCCGACCTATCTCCTCCTCCGTGGAATTGATCAACCAGACCATTATTGTACTGTTCTCAGCATCCCACTTCTCATATGCTGGATCATCTTCCTTTGGAGCTTTGACTGCTCCAGTCAAGTAACCCAATTTTCCTCTACCTCGAACCATCAACTTCATAGTTTGAGACCATGGGATATAATTTTTTCCATTCAATTTGTGAACACTAATTTGAATGAATTATTATCATTTAACTGAGGTTGGACTCTTGTTTGTCCAGATCTCAGATCTAAAGAAGGAATTTGTCGAACATGTGGTGGACTTAGGCTCCTACCCTCCCTGCCACCAGTCATGGCTGTTTTAACCATCAATTACTAAGGCCAGAGAACCTAGCTCTGATACCATGAAAATAGAGGAAAAACTTATTCACTTTTAAAAAAATACATATCATTCATCTCTAGTTATAGACTAACTCTAGATATCTTTATAACCCTAAGTTAGGATTATCCTAACTTTTAAATTTTTAAAACTAGATAATGCCTAGATAACTCCTAAGTTTTCACATTCTTATCTTAGGAATTCAACAAAAAGAAAATACATTTCTATTTATGAAGAATTCTGCTTTTGCTTTAGGCTTCTTTTTATGACAGAAATGAAATTTTAAAATAATTTCCCAGTGTAAATCTGATTTGATTTGGTCTGCGGCCACAAAGTTGGTTACAAATTCTGGCAAGAAATCATTCAGTTCAATCAAGCTTACAAAATAATTGGGTTGAGCAAAATTGAGGATGGTTCTTTGATCTGTAATATGCAAGTAAAGTTTATTTTGTCAACAGAAAAATGCTATTAAATAATTAATTTTTACAGATGTAAACAAGTTATATATACATTTGCTATTTTATACAAAATTTTGTCCATACTCTTTTCTTATAGGAAAAAATAGAAGAAGCTGAGAAGTTTTACCTTTTCAGGTACAAGTAGCAAAAAAATGATGCGGAGAGAGCATCATGATGTTGCTTCTGCATGCAAGAATCTGGTTGATCTACTATTCAGAGCATCATGGTTGTTTTCATATAAAATACAGTTTCCAAATGCTTCAGGTGTAAGTTGTTCTGTTATAGTCTTATTATTCTTATGCTTCGGGTGTAAATTGTTCCGAATGACAGGTGTAAATACCTTTTTATTCTTATTCTATTTCCTATCCCAATTCCCTTCTAGTTCCTCTTATTCCTATTATAGTTTATCCTATTCTCACCCCAGCCTATTCTATTCCTATCCCAATTATTGTTCCTATTCCAATTTCTGCTCCTATTCCTATCCCTATCCCTATCCCTATTCTAGTTTCTATTTCTATTCCTATTCCTGTTTTTGTTCTAGTTTCTATTTCTATTCCGGTTTGCATTCTCGTTCCAGTATCTATTCTCTTTCTGGGTTCCTATTCCTATTCCAATTATTGTTCTTATTCTAGTTCCTATGACTATTCCCATTCCCATTCCTATTATCATTGCCGCTGCCATTCCCGTTCCCATTCTCATCCCCTTGCCCATTCTTGTTCCCATTCCCTTTCCTTTCCCATTCCAACTCTTGTTCCCATTCCCCTTCCCATTCCCTTGCCCATTCCAACTCCGATTCCCGTTCCCATTCCCTTCCCTTTCCCTT